AAGAATGCTAAAAACAGGAGAGGTTTAAAGAAAACATTTTGAGAATAAAGGAAATCTCTTTTTTTTTTCTTTTTAATTTGTTATTGAGTAACTAAAACTATTAAAATTCAATTAAATAAATATATTGAAGTATTAAATCACTATTTAAATGACCAAAATAAATATTTTTTTGTATTTTTCAGCTGGAAAAATCTTCCAAAAATTAAAAATATAATACAGTATTAAATATTTATTAAACAATTAATTAATAAAAATTAATATGTTGTTTAAATTATATCTAGATTCCTAAAAATGACAAAATAAAAATACAAAACTGTAAATTATTAATAGAAAACTCCTGGCTTTTAGTCTATAAAACTAAAAGCTTATTAAAAACACAAACACACACACACAAAAAAAATTAATTAATTAATTAACAATATGTGGATCTTTTTATTTTGTGGACACACCGATCCCTATATTAGATTCTGTGACTGTCCAGATCTGCAGAAAAAAATCTCTTTTTTGTGTGCCACGTGTTGTGCGTGTGGTTTTAAACAACCTCTGAGCTCTTTCTCCCTCTCTCTAAATTCACTCCCACACCCTTTACCACAGAATGGCAGAAGAACCACATTACTGGCAGTTTAACAGATTGTGTTTTTGGAGAGCCACCCTGATTCATGAAATAAAGACACTGAATGTCCCAAAGTCATATCCTCTTAAAATATGACAACACTCTTATGTAATAAACTGGTAGCTGATTTAAGCTCACAAAATGATGACGTGCACAGCCTGATGATGTCCACCGCCGCCCTGAACAATCCTACTAACAAATAAAAGATGTGTTTTGTTTTTCAGCTTCTAAAAGTCTTTGATTTAGTCTAATAAAACAGTCAGCAATTTCATAAGTGCTTGATCTATATATATATATAACATATTTAGATAATCCCAACTGGTTAGGCAAATCTGACTTGTATCTCTCATTTAAAGAAATGAGATTGGATAATTAATGTTACATTTATAGAATGTTAGAAATCTAAAGACTTGATGTGGATAAGAGAGTGATGAAAAATAAAAACAGTATTGCTCAAAGATTTAAAAACTACTTTAGTCTCTATTTTTCAACCTCAAGAAGCTTTTAAAACTGAACTGGTCACAGCGGAAACATCTAGAAATGCACCAGGAGCACAAAACTAAAAAGGAAACAAGATAAATACGAGCATTGAAGCTCCTTACCTGCTGTGTGAGATATATCTGGAGATGAATTCTTCCGTTTGAGGTTTCTGATGGCAAGCAGATTTTAAGGTTTGATCATTGTTTTTGATTACTGTCTATTATGTCCTCGGCTGCCAGCAGTCGCATAGCACTGAGAAGTACCTGCAATTCAAAATACAGGACAGCTTGCAAAAAAAGGGGAAAAAAATTGTATTTGAGACATTCCCACTGAAGCTGTCTTTCCCTCCCACTGTTTCTCTCTTTCTTATGGATAAAGAGAGAGAGAGAGAGAGAGAGAGAGAGAGAGACAGAGAGAGAGAGAGAGAGAGAGAGAGAGAGAGAGAGAGAGAGAACTGGATGGTGTGAGTGTGTGGGCCAATAATTCCAACCAAATACTATAGTTATCACAGTTTTTGTAATTCTTTTGAATTAATTTTAGGTTAAATTCATCCTTTATTTTACTTATTTATATTTTTAAGCACTACGGGTCCAGCTGCAAAACAACCGTGATTATGCATATATCGCTATACATGTAATCAAATAGGACAGAAAGACAGAAAAGGACAGAAAGACAGATAGACAGACAGATAGAGACAGACAATATATAAATTAATAGACAGTCAGATAGGCAGAGACAGACAAATATAGTGACAGATATAGTTGTAGACAGACAGACAGATAAACATTCTGGGCCCTATCATACACCCGGCGCAGTGTGGTGCAAGGCGCGGCGCAGTAGTCTTTTGGTAGTTTTAGCTTGGCGCAAGAGTGGTTTTGAGGCGTTGCGCTATGCTGTTTAAATAGCAAATGCATTAGCGCTCATTTGTGCGCCCATAGGCGTTCTGGTCTAAAAAGGAAGGCGTTCTGAGGCGGACCGCGTCGCTATTTTAAGAAACTAAAATAGATTTTTCATTAGACCAAAACTAACCCGGTCTAAACTCCGGCGCAGAGTTGCGCCTCGCTTACGCACTGCTTAATACGCACAAGAGAGCAATAGGCAAATATCTTTACATATGAAAAAATGTGCATATTTGCATATATTGCCCTGGCGCAAAGCGCATTTTCCCGTCCATAAATTAGCAAAAATGCATTCTGACACGCCCTGAAAGCGTTTGCGCCCTGCGTTTTGCGCTCTGCGCATGGACCGTCAAAATAGAGCCCTCAAACAGTAAACTGTTGTATAGTTTATAGATATTTTTGTATACAGACAGACACAGGCAGGTATATAGACAAAGACATACAGATATATAGACAAAATATAAAGACAAAGATATATGGAGACAGAAATATGTATAGAATAAGACAGACAGACAGATATATAGACAAGACAGACATATAGACAAAGATACAGTATGTAGAGACAGATAGATATATAGACAAAGACATATATATATATATATATATATATATATATATATATATATATATATATATATATATATATGAGAGAGAGAGAGAGACAGATAGATATACAGTATATACAAAGACAGATATATAGACAAAGACAGACAGATATATAGACAGACAAACAAATATATAGATAAAAATAGACAAATATATAGACAGAGAGACAGATATATAGACTAAATAGACAAATATATAGACAAAGATAGACAGATATATAGACAGACAAACAAATATATAGGTAAAGACATACAGATATATAGACAAAATCAGACAAATATATAGACAAAGACAGACAGATATATAGACAAAAACAGACAAATATATAAACAAAGAGAGACAGATATATAGACTAAATAGACAAATATATAGACAAAGATAGACATATAAATAGACAAAGACAGATATATAAACAAAACAGACAGATATATAGACAAAGACAGACAGATATATAGACAAAGACAGACAGATATACAGAAAAACACAGATATATCGACAGACGGATATTTAGACAAAAACAGACAAATATAGACAAAGATATAAAGACAGATAGATATATAGACAAAGACACATATATAGATAAAGACAGACATATATTTAGAGACAGACAGATATATAGACAAAGACAGATATATAGACACATAAATATAGAGACAGAGATATATAGAAAAAGAGACAGATATATAGACAAAGACAGATATATAGACAAAACAGACAAATATATAGACAAAGATATATAGAGACAGATAGATATATAGACAAAGACAGATATTTAGACAAAGACAGATATATAGACAAAAACAAACAAATACATAGAGACAAAAAAGACATATATAGACAGATATATAGACAGATAGATATATAAACAAAGACAGAGAGATTTGTAGACACAGATAGAGACAGACAGACATATATATAGACAAACATACAGACAGACAGACAGACAGACAGACAGACAGACAGACAGACAGACAGACAGACAGATAGATAGATAGATAGATAGATAGATAGATAGATAGATAGATAGATAGATAGATAGATATCACGCATTAGACACTTTAAAATGCTCTATTGATATAGATGTGGCTCAGCTCTTTGACATACAATAAACACATCCTGCCACAGACTTCCAGGTTTTCCCACTAAGACTGATGTTACTTCAGGATATGCTCTTTTAATATAAGGAAGTTTTTCTTCATGGTTGAGGACACGGCCCACACCCTAGAAATGAAGAACAGTCACAGAAATATATACATCAACAGAGAATCAGAGCAGGGACGGCCCAAAGAAAATAAATCTGGGACAGAGGTCTGCTGTGAAGCAGAAAAAAAGCACTTGTGGCAGTGAATTACCGGTTTAAGAGAAGAGTTTCTCTGGACAGAAATAGAGCAAGCAGTGAGTGCCACTGCCCAGTATGTTAGTCTACAGCGTCATAACACTCAAAGATTAAAGTGCAACTCAGCATTGGGCTGATCTTCTCTGCTCTCAGCAGCTGTTCATGCAAAACAGTCTTCAAGAAGCATACTGCTAGTATAGAATTACGTTGTTTACAAGTAAATCTCAGAAGTTAGTCTACACATTTTAATTCCTTGGATAAAATAAGATAAAGATAAAGTAGGGTGTTGAATAGATATGAATAATTATCTGAAGACTAACTTAAGACATTTAAAAAATTAATCAAGACTAGGGGAAATATTTTTTAAAAGTAACACTATTTGTAGTTGCTTGCATTTCTGACGCCCCCTTGTGGGCCAAGGAGATATTCAGGAGGACAGAATTAAATAGACTAAACTGTAAAAAGTATTCAACTCCTTCAACAAGACCGCTGGACACAAGCGAATCATGACCAGAGATGTCCTTATTACAATAATAAAAAAGAATAAAAATAACCCTTAATTCCAGATGAATTCTTTTACCTCCCAGCTTTATTGTAGTTTATGAGGGAAAACCAAAACCTGGACAACAAACAGGATCACAAAAATAAAATTAAAATTAAAACCTTTGCTACTAATACTTGTAACAGTATTACAAATAAACTGTTTGCCATTTAATTAAGAAATAAATAATGTAAGAAGCTGATACATTATTGCAAATGATTTAAAAACAAAGCAAAAGTAAATTCGATTTAAAAGACTGCAGGCATTCATACAGATGCTTGATATAAGCAAAACAACATACATACACAAACTTTAACAAGCAAAGGACTATTAGCACCATATAAATCTGTGCAAAACAAACACCTGCTACAGCATAAGCACAGCTGATGTTAATGTCAAATGTATGCAGTAGTTTTAAGTTGTGAAAAGTAAAAAAAAATGCATGTGTGCTTCCAATGACGCATCCCTAAAACACAACTTACACAATATAAAAGGCCTCAAGTGTAAAAACAAAAAACAAATTCTCCGAATGCTGACTTGAATGGAGATTTAGCTGAAAATGTTTTGTGTTTCAGATCTGGTGCTCCTCGTATCTCTGGGGCCGCAGCAGGACGCTCTGGTAGGTTCTGATGCAAGAGAAGGCTGTGGGTGGAATGAGGCGCCGCTCTATCAGGTTAAACTCCAGGTGAACCGACACCAGTGAAGAGTCGTCCCGTGCCGTAGTATCACACAGTGAGTTCATAGTGACGTAGCTAAATGCACAAGATCAGGTTAAAACGTTCTGTTGTGATGATGTAGAAACTACTAGAGTTGCTTTTAAATTATGTTTGTTTTTAGTCTGTATGCCAAATCAAACGTTGGTAAGTTCAGTCCGGGAGCACTGCAGTCCTACCAGGTGAGCAGCAGTCCTCACCTGCCTTTAGCTGTCCAGTAACACTCAGATCAGTTTTAGTTTGTTTACGTGTGTCTAATTAGTGTTTAAACAAAAATCTGCAGGATTGCGGCTCTCCAGGACCTACTGCTGTACTATATCTGTTTACTAATGCATGCAATATAAACACATACATATACAAACATCGCCCACCTACAAAGATGCACAAACAAAACACAAATACTTTGAATAAATAAACATAAAGGAAATGATAAAATGAAGATTTTTAGAATGACAGAGACATGAAGAGGGATCAAATTATACAATGACAGACAGAAACAGATAAACAGACAGACAAATAAACAGATAGAAAAATAGATATAGATGAAAAAAAAAAACTATAAAATGACAGATGGACAGACAGACAGACTGATGATAGGTAGGTAGGTAGGTAGGTAGGTAGGTAGGTAGGTAGGTAGGTAGGTAGGTAGGTAGGTAGGTAGGTAGGTAGGTAGGTAGGTAGGTAGGTAGGTAGGTAGGTAGGTAGGTAGGTAGGTAGGTAGGTAGGTAGGTAGGTAGGTAGGTAGGTAGGTAGGTAGGTAGGTAGGTAGGTAGGTAGGTAGGTAGGTAGGTAGGTAGGTAGGTAGGTAGGTAGGTAGGTAGGTAGGTAGGTAGGTAGGTAGGTAGGTAGGTAGGTAGGTAGGTAGGTAGGTAGGTAGGTAGGTAGGTAGGTAGGTAGGTAGGTAGGTAGGTAGGTAGGTAGGTAGGTAGGTAGGTAGGTAGGTAGGTAGGTAGGTAGGTAGGTAGGTAGGTAGGTAGATAGATAGATAGATAGATAGATAGATAGATAGATAGAATGACAGACAGACAGACAGGCTGATGATAGATAGATAGATAGATAGATAGATAGATAGATAGATAGATAGATAGATAGATAGATAGATAGATAGATAGATAGATAGATAGATAGATAGATAGATAGATAGATAGATAGATAGATAGATAGATAGATAGATAGATAGATAGATAGATAGATAGAATGACAGACAGACAGACAGACAGACAGGCTGATGATAGATAGATAGATAGATAGATAGATAGATAGATAGATAGATAGATAGATAGATAGATAGATAGATAGATAGATAGATAGATAGATAGATAGATAGATAGATAGATAGATAGGACTATAGTTAGACAAACAGACATATATAGACAGGCAGATAGACAAATAGAGCAACAGACAGAAAGACAGAGACAGAAAGATAGAAAAAACTAACAATAAACAGATAGATAAATAGATATAGATAGAAAAAACTATAGAATGACGAACGGATGGACGGACAGACAGACAGACTGACCTGATGTAGTTGTGGTTGAGTCTCAGGTGCTGTAGGCTCTTCAACTGCACAATGCCTCTTGGGATTGCTCTGAGCTGGTTGTGGTCCAGCAGGAGTTCGGTCAGTGAGTTGTACAGGCCGATGAAGGACACCTCATTGATGCCGTCTTCACGCAGGCGGTTGTAAGACAACTGAAGCGAGTCCAGGCCGGGCCGCAGGTGGCCGAACACATAGCCAGGGATGCGCTCAATTTGGTTGTGATGCAAGACGAGCTGCCGGAGACCCACCGGCAGGAATGAGGGAACGTGAACCAGTTTATTGTGGGAGAGGTCCAAAAACTCCAGTTTTCTGTACATAAAGACATGTTTGGATACTATTCAAGAACTTTGGGAATCATTTATTATGTTTATATAAGGAAGTATTTACTATCTAACTAAAATTGGGAGCCATTATTTCCAATTAATTCAATTTGTTTACAGTGACACCCGCTGGATTTACACCTGTGAAGCCAGTGTCCTGACATTTGATCCTACCCATCAGATTATGCTACCAACACGGTATTTTATTGGTTCTGAGGTTGGGGTTAGGGTGTAGGTAGGTTAGGGCGATATTACAGCTTCATATCACAGTAATCTACTGTACATTAAAACAATTGAATCCAATTATGTATTGAAAAAAATATTATGTAGATTTAACAACATTTAGTGAAATAAATCTTAGTAAAAAGTAAATATATACTTATTTATTTATATTTAAGTAGGGGTTTTTCATCTTTAATTTATAGGACAGTAGATATGAGAGGAGTGAAGGATTGGCAAAGGACATTGAGAAATGAATCGCAATTGGATCGCCGTGATTACCTCAGTGCTACATGTCAGTGCACTTCTCCACTAGGCTATTGATGCCGATCATATATACTTATCTTAATAATTTTGAATGTAGAGTTTTTGGGTGATGCGGTGGTGCAGTGGGTAGAGCTGTCGCCTCACAGCAAGATCATCTCTGGTTCGAGCCTCGGCTGGGTTAGTTGACATTTCTGTGTGGAGTTTGCATGTTCTACCCGTGTTTGCGTGGGTTTCCTCCGGGTGCTCCGTTTTCCCCCACAAGTCCAAAGACATGTGGTATAGATGAATTGGGTAAGCTAAATTGTCCTTAGTGTATGTGTGTGAATGGGAGTGTATGGGTGTTTCCCAGTGATGGGTTGCTGCTGCAAGGGCATCCGCTGCATAAAGCATATGCTGAATAAGTTGACAGTTTACTCAGCTGTGGTGACCCCTGATTAATAAAGGGTCTAAAGCCGAATAGAAAATGAATAAATGAATGTAGCATTTTTATTATTAAAATGATTACATTTTGAAATATTACGTTATTTGTAATATTAAACACCAAATCAAATCAAATCAAATCACTTTCATTGTCACATCATCAGCAGCACGTGTGCTATGATGAGTGAAAAGCTTAGCCAAATTGAGTGTATGAGAATGATTTGCGAAAGATGATGTGATACTTAAGCCTGGAGTAAAAAATTCAGCTTTGACATCACAGAAATAAGTTACAATAATTTTGTAATAAAGCTAATTAAAACTGGTATAATTTTTCACAATACTACTCTCTTTCTGGTCAAATAAATGAAATGATAAATGAAGTGTCAAATACTGTAAATACAACCTCTACTGATGCCATTCGAAAGTATTCAAAAACTTTTATATAGTTATATATAATAAATATACTTTTTTAATATAGTTTCTTAAATAAATTCTTAATGTGCTATTCAATAATGATTCTTATCATGATATTTATTCACGACTTCTTCACCTGTTTACATGCATTACAGTCACTGTCCAGAAGAGGGCATCGAACAGCAGAGAGAGATCTGAACTCACAGCAAGTGTATCCAAGCTCTGGGATGAATGCGGTCCTCTCGGAGTCGGTTATGGCTGAGGTTCAGGACTCTCAGGTTTGTGGTCTTGTTTAGGAGCCCTGAATGGACCACCTCTATCTTGTTGTCCGACAAGTGGAGCTCCTGAAGAAATAATAAATCATTTTTGGAGTCATAAGTCATTTCTTATGCTACCTACATAAAATTGAGAGCATGTTTTGCATAGTGAGTATATATGACATCCAACTGAAGTCAAAATTATTAGCCGTCCTGTGAATCTTTTTTCGTTTCCAAATATTTTTCAAGTGTTTAACTGAGCAAGGAATATTTCACAGCATTTCTTGTAATATTTTTTCTTCTGAAGAAAGTATTTTTTTGTTTATTTTTTGCTAGAATAAAAGCAGTTTTTAATTCTTTTAAACATTTGAGGTCAAGATTATTAGCCCCTTTAAGCTATATATTTTTTGATATTCTACAGAACAAACCATCGTTATACAATAACTTGTCTAATTACCCTAAACTACCTAATTAACCTATTTAACCTAGTTAAGCTTTTGAATGTCCCTTTAAGCTGTATAGAAGTGACTTGAAAAATATCTAGTAAAATATTATTTACTGTCATCATGGCAAAGAGAAAATAAATCAGTTTTTAAAAACCAATTATTAAAACTATTATGTTTAGAAATGTGTTAAAAAAAATCTTCTTTCTGTAAAACAGAAATTGGGGAAAAAATATATACAGCAGGGCTTATAATTCAGGAGGGTTAATAATTCTGACTTCACCTGTATGTACTGACCTGTACTGAAACAGGCAGACCAGAAGGAATAGCTCTGAATTTATTGTCATCCAGCCTGAGGTAAATCAGCTGCCTCAGAGGTTTGAAGGCCAGAGGAGACACATTTCCATCGTGGAAATAATTATCCTCTAACTCCAGCGTCAGCAGCTGTGCCAGACCTGAGGAAACAAATAACATTAGATCACTAGAGTAATAATAAATATTAATAATATCTGTCCTCAAACGTTTAAACAATAGTTTCATTTAGTAGTTTGAGATGATTTATTATCTGGGTTTGTCATGTAAATGATAACACAAAACCCAGGATATTACTTTTCTTGTTTTTTTAGAAATGTACTTCTGTATATACAGGTGAAGGCAGAATTATTAGGCCTCATGAGATTTTTTATTATTTTTTTAAACATTTCCAAAATTATGTTTAACAGAGCAAGGAAATTTTTATAGTATTTCTGATAATGTTTCTTTTTTGTTTATTTCAGGTAGTTTTTAATTTTTTTAAACTTAAAAATTTTAAGGTCAATATTATAAGCCCCCTTAAGCTATTTTTCTGTAGAGTCTACAGAGCAAGTCATTAATATACAATAATCTGCTTAATTACTCTAACTTGCCTAATTAACCTAGTTAAGCCTTTAAATGTCACTTTAAGCTGATTATTAATATTTAAAAAAATATCTAGTAAAGGGGTGATGCAGTGGTGCAGTAGGTAGTGCTGTCGTCTCACAGCAAGAAGGTCACTGGTTCGAGCCTCGGCTGTCAGTTGGCATTTCTGTGTGAAGTATGCGTTTCCTTGCTCCGGTTTCCCCCACAGTCCAAGCACATGTGGTGAATTGTCTGTAGTGTATGTCTGTGAATGAGTGTGTATGGATGTTTTCCAGTGATGGGTTGCAGATGGAAGGGCATTTACTGCGTAAAACATGTGCTGGATAAGTTGGCGGTTCATATTGCTGTGACGACCCCTGATTAATAAAGGGACTAAGCCGAAAAGAAAATGAATGAATGAATGTTTAGAAATGTGATAAAGAAAATCTTCTATCTGTTAAACAGAAATTGGGGAAAGAAATATAAAGGAGAGATTATAATTCTGACATCAACTGTATATATTATTACTTATGTAATTCCAGATGAAAAAAATAGTAAATGCTTTTGTGTCAACCAAACTATAGTGAAGTATAATATTTAAAACACTGCTATTGAATGCTATAGGATACTTACATATCTTAAATATTGTAGATATTTTATATTTATTATGTTAATACAAACTTATTTCAAAAGTATTTTGAACCTACATTTCATAAAACATACTTAAAACTGTGTGTATGACTTTAAAGGGCACCTATGATGAAAATCATCTTTTGGAAGCTGTTTGGACAGAACTGTGTGTAGGTATAGTGTGTCCACGGTCATATTGTCATGATATAAAGACAATAAGTGTCTTTTTTTAATTACCTGATGTTAAAAATAGGATCCAAATCCCTCCCATTTTGAGGCCCACCGCAATGTGACGTAGGAGTGCAGTTTCCCCACCCACCGATTTAACTGACAGCTGCGTATTAACATGTCTAGTATAGTAAAGTGTATAATCATATGAACAAGACAGGACGTGCGCAAAACAACTGCGATTAAAAGATCTGTTCAGCGCTCTGTGATCATCAATCATCATCAAATGTGATCAAGAATGAGATTTACAAGTTTAAAATGTTTTTAAAACAGTGCATGTCAGCTATGAATTATAGGGATTTCACTGTCTTTACTTTATCACCACAACCATATCTGTAAAATTATAAAAGAAGACCCTTCAATCCCGGTTTGTGGACGTTGAATCAGGTTTATTTTCTACATTAACATAGCGGATATCCATACAGCAGTGGATATAAACATGTCTCCTGTCACATTAAAGCCTGGTTTATACTTCTGCGTCAAGTAATCGGCGTAACCCACGGCACATGCAACACGTGTAGCTGTGCATTCATACTTCTGCGCGCTGTTTCTGTTGCTCTGCAATAACACTTCCGAAACGCTAGATGGTAGTAGGTGTTTATGTTCCTCTGTGTCGAGTTTCTTCGCTGGTGTTTTGTTTTTTCTGAACGCTTCCTTTATGTACAAGTGGTTCAAACTCGCTCATTTTTAGGCAGGAACCGGCGGACGAACAACAACTTTAACCATAAGGTAAAAACAAAGCAACATTATCCATACGGAGCTCCTTGTAAAAGGTTGACACAGTTGCTCTAATGGACTCAAGCAGCTCTCTGTCCCACCCACACTCATCAGCACATCCTAGCCGACCAATCACAGAGCTTGTGCTACACGTCGTTGCGACGTGTAGTTACATTTTTTGAGACGTGCACGTCAGCGATGCCCACGGCGAGGGCTATGCGTCCACGCGTAGGCTGTGCTGTAGCATATCCCTGCACCTGCGCTTGACGCAGAAGTAAAAATCTGCCTTGACAGGCACGTGGGAACGATAGGTGAGGAGAACTAGCATTGAAGGCACAGGCAACAACAGCTACATTGAAGTTCAGGGCAAAAAATTTCAATATTCTGAAGGGTATAATATATAAGTTGATGGGTGTTTTGAGCAGAAACTTTACAGAAACATTCTGGAGACACATAGGACTCATCTTAAATCTTGAAAAAGGGGTAAAATAGGTGCCCTTTAAAAATAAGTTGAAACACAGTTAACTTTAATTCATATAAATGATGTTGTTTACAGTGTATGAAAAACAGATCTCTCAGTGGACCCGGGTGCTGAACAGCCAACAGTAACACTCTCTCTCTCTGTATATGTGTGTGTGTTTGTGTGTTTACCCTTAAAGCTGTGAGGAGTGAGACCGCTGAGTTTATTATCGTTGATCTTCAGCTCCACCAGCGAGGGAGGGAGAGACGGCACTTTAGTGAAGTTGTTTCCATCCAGATTCAACCTCCGGAGCTTCGTCAAGTTCTGCAACAGGCCGAGAAGTTACTCATAACAGCGTCAAAACCCGAGCGTAAATATCTTAGATCCTGCCGCGAGTCACAGAAGCAGACGTTACACAACAAACACTCAGATATACTCAAGAGTTCATCTGGCAGGAGAAAACAGACACTCATGACCATGCAAAAATGAGAGAGAAAAAACATTCTGCTTTAGGTCACACATATGACATTTATAAATCATGTGCAGGCGCCTTGTTGATGTACTGTAACACACAGGTGAGAAAGGGGTCATAAATAAAAGATGTGCTTCTCTTTTGGGGGGTAATATCTATATATCTATTGACTGAAAAGCCCATTTTCTCTGCAGCAACCCGGTGAGACTTGTCTTGGTGATGTCAGACTTGACATCTTGCGAAAACACGTCAGCTACTTGCTAAATATCAAGCATGCAGTGCGCGGCACCATAAGGCCTGATAAATCATCATTGTAGCAGATAACAGATCACAAGCAGTCTCCAGTTTTCCAGATTTTTGTTAGTCAGGATATTATTAGAGTGCTGTAGAAATCACATTTGCTGTTATGTGATCACATGTGCATCCATGAGGACATGTTTGTCTTTTTGTTTTGAATACAAACAGCGAACATTTTTATTTGGATATTTTTGGGATATATTTTTGCCTAATTGCAGTCCCTTCAGGCGGCATGGTGGCTCAGTGGTTAGCACTGTCGCCTTACAGCAAGAAGGTGGCTGATTCGAGTCCTAGCTGGGGCAGTTGGCGTTTCTGTGTGGAGTTTGCATGTTCTGAAAGTGTTCATGTGGGTTTCCTTGGGGTGCTCCGGTTTACCCCACAATCCAAAGACATGCACTATAGGTGAATTGGGTAAACAAAATTAGCTGTAGTGTATGAGTGTGTGTAAATGTGAGATTTATGGGTGTTTCCCAGTACTGGGTTGCAGCTGGAAGGGCATCAGCTGCGTAAAACATATGCTGGAATAGTTGGTGGTTCATTCAGCTGTGGCGACTTCTGCTAAATAAGGGACTAAGCCGAAGGAAAATGAATGAACTAATGTTGCCCTGTCATGAATTTATTTTTCCAGTAAAGCAGTATTGTTCATATGGCCGGTTAGGCTTCTTTATCTCTAGAGGTGCCCAAAGGAGTGCCTCAGGGATCGGTATTAGGAGCCATATTATTCTATTTACATAAACATCTTATGTGACAAACTTCATTATCATTTGTATGCTACTGATAGAGTGATTTATTGCTGCTTTCCTTCATTGCAGTCTTTACAGTGTGTTTTTAATATTGTTCAGTTTTTTTCTTTATTTGAATATGAAGATTTCAACCTCATTTCCATCCTGTCATCAATTTATTTGACCCAAAATAGCAGTATTTATTCTAATTTCATTTAAAGGTGCTGTATGTAAGTTTTTGACTCTTTTAAAGCATAACAATACCGTAATATATATTTAAGAAACATGCTAAGTTAACATTTTTGTCTATCTGAAAAACAAAGCTGAAGTCAGATATTCTGCTTTGAAAATATGCATTAGTGTTGGAACGTCTGTCTTTGTTTAACCTGCCCTTGGTGGAAAACAACGTATTTCATTCATTCAGTCAGGAAGGCTCTCAAAGTATGCGCCCGGGAACGAAATGTGACCTCCAGTGGACAGTAGCGGGCTCCGAAAAGAGACGCAGATTAAGAGATCCACATGAGGTAGTTATTAATTAGCAAATCATAAAAATATTATGAATGTAAACACTAGGTGAGCAGGATCCATTTTAACCCAGTGTCCTAACAACACACTACCTGAAGAGATTTCAGTAGTATGACAAAAATATAAATTTCCAGTGTGGGGACAGCACCAACCAGTGTCTGACTGTTGAACCTAACGGCTAATTTAAAGTGGAAATGAAGCACTCAGTCAAGTTTACCTTATTTTATACATTGGATTACACTTTAATGAAAATATATTAAACAAACTCGATTAATGCAAACATTTAGCAGAAAACAGCAGGCTTTACTATAGATTTTATACATATAGGACGCAGCCATCTTGGAATGTCATTATGCCTGACGTCACGGGGTTGGTTGAGTTCCCTCCAATGAACAGAAACAATGGAAGAAAAGGAGACTGTAAAACCTCATTTAACCCAATGCGTGTAGTTGTGGATGTGGAGCTGCAGCAAATACAAGCATCAGATGTGTGTCTAATATAAAAGTATATATTTTATTTTTATTTTTTCCCCTTTTAATTACCGATCATTTGATGTGCTTTGATTCACTCTCTGTATTACGCTGCCTGCCTGCCTGTCTGTGAGTGTAACGGACTGAACACTGACCCTGTAAAGCCTAATTTAACCCAATGCTTGTAGTTGTGGACAAGCATCACAGACCTGCTGCAAATAAAACAAATACAAGCAATTAAGTGTCTTCACTTACAACGATTAAAATCATACATGACTTCATGCTTTATTAAGTCACGTCAAGGATAAAACCTAAGAAACACTGCAGCGATCTTAGTTTGGTTTGAAACAACCCCCATTACGTCAGTAGTGATTCACTCTTTGTATTAAGCTGCCGGACTGCCTGTGGTTTCAACTAGGTCCAGTGCTGATGTATTGGGGGCAGGTCCTTTCACTTTTCACTGCTACAACCCCTCCCTTACCTCCGTTCGTGTTCAAACCTGACTGTTGACCCTAAAGGCTAATTTTAGGCTTATTTAAGTCATGTTCTAAATGAAAGCAACGACACACGATATAATAAATATTTTTACATTAAAAGTAGTTTCTTTTAATATGAAAATATTCCTTCTAACGCGTGTTGTTGCTTTCATTTAGTACCTGACTTAAATCAGCCTAAAATCAGCCTTTAGGCTCGACAGTCAGGCACACTTCTGTTGGTGTAGTCAATCTGGCAACTTTCACTTGCGTTTGTTTTGAACCAGGTGTGCAATACCTAATTCAGCCACATGGTGTCAAACTTACATACTGCACCTTTAAGGATAAAATCATGCATTGATTGATAAAATACTCAATTTTCCACTACTATTTTGTATCCCAATTTTCTCAGGTTTGGCATTTAGAGCATATATGCATTTTCTTCCCTTGTTTTCTCAATGTAATGATGGAATAGATTTTCATTTTCCTTTGGCTTAGTCTCTGATTTATCAGTGGTCACCACAGCGGAATGAACCGCTAAATATTCCAGCTTATGTTTTAGGCAGAGGATGCTCTTTCAGTCGTAACCCAATACTGGGAAACACCCATACACACTCATTCACACATACACTATGACCACTTTAATTTACCCAATTCACTTAAAGCAAATTTTTTTAGACTGTAGGGGAAACTGGAGCACCAGGAGTAAACCCACACTAACATGGCTAGAATATGCAAACTCCACACAGAAATACCAACTGACCCAGCCGAGACTTGAACCAGCGACCTTCTTGTTGTGATGCGACATTGCTAATCACTTAGCAGCCAAGGACTGATTTTGTAAAAAACAAAACAATATATAATATTTTTATGAATGCTTTTGTCAGTACACTTGAAAGTAAGTAATAAAGTCTCCACCTTACCTTAAACACATCTGGTGCTAAAGAGAAATCATCCAGCTTGTTCTTGCTGAGGTCGAGCCACTCCAGGTTGGGCAGACCTGCCAGAGCATGTGCCGGGATCTTGCTGATTTTGTTATCTGCAAAATAGCAGTAAGTCAAGAGTGTTTTTTCATCTGTTTTTGGATCACTTTGAGCTGTTTACACTTCTCACATTTCAGTGCCAGCTCTTGCAGAGCCATATTCAAATAAATCCACTGACGGACAAACAGTAAGTCGCTGCCAAGAACATCAGTCAAACTCAAATAACACCTTTTCACTACAGACACACATTTTTCATCTGTTTTGAAACAATTTTTTCACCATAATTTGCACAGGCACATGAATCTAAAACAACTTAGTATGTTTTCACCTCAGTGAATACAAATAATATATAAAAAAGTGACTTTATATCAGAGGTGCCCAAACTTTTTCCTATAAAAGGCCGAAAACCAAACTTGACTGAGGGCCGAATATATACACCAAACCGTATTACATTAAATTAGCCAAGGGGAATTTATGCATCTATTCTGTAATATTGAAAAAAAATGTTGCTTTAAATCATATTTAATATCTAATGCAGTTTCATTTTAAACATTTTATATTGAACATATTACAGAAAACCATGAACAATTCGGAGTTCAATGCTGAATACACTAGTTGAGCTGCACCTGCCTTTTTCTTGATATGCTCATAGATGCCAGATGTGCGTCAAGTAACAGTATTATCATTTTAAAAGTCTGATTCATTTAAAACATTTAATTTAATAATTTAATTTCCATTGCCTTTTGTAGCTCAGCAAATAAACTAAGAAACAAAAGATTATGTTAGATTAAAATTGATGATTTCTGACAAAAGGTATTCGCTCCAACCACTAACATTCTTCTTCTCTTTTTAGATGTGATGGCAATTAAAGGTACCTTGGGCCAACTTTGGGCATCTCTGCTTTATATTTTACAATTCAATTTTTTTAGACTAAAACTCTCCTTACTGTAACATTATTTAAAACTCATAATAGATATCAAATATATTAAAACAAGTTCGATGCCTAATGTAAGTGATCATAAAAATTTTTAAATATATAAAATAAATAATAAAAAACTGCTTGCTGACAAACTGGTAAAAAAACTTATCTGTAGGATAATGGCTATAATAAAATATAATATAATAAAATATAATATAATATAATATAATATAATTTAATATAATATAATATAATATAATATAATATAATATAATATAATATAATATAATATGATATAATATAATATAATATAATATAATATAATACAATATAATATAATATAATATAATATAATATAATATAATATAATATAATATAATATAATATAATATAATTTTGTTAATTGTTAATAAATTAAATGACAATTATTTACTATTTTTAGGCTGCAGAATTCTTGGGCTGCAGAATAATTCTCTTAAATAGATCATTTAATGTCATGAAATGCAAATGTCAATGATTATGGCACTAAATGTACTTTTAAAGGGTGTCTTCTGTAAATCATAGTAAAAATACAGCTGAATTACACTCTTTTTTTTGATTATTAAAAATAGAAATGAATTAAAATACCCGTTTGATCTACTGTATATTTAATTTACAAATAAAACATATATGAAAGTAAATAAATCTAACTTATTTTTAGGATGTTCATACATTTTACTGGAAAAAAAATATTTAATATGAACTATTATTTTCAGTGTATTCCTAGCCCTCATGACCCAGCAGGAAACTTGATGTCAAAACAACATCTAATTGACATCAGAAAAAAAAAATATATATATACTCTTCGAGGTTCAGTGATCAAATTTTCCAACATTTGGTTGCCATTCTTGGAGCATGTCAAATCTCTAAAATGTGACGCAGTTACTGTAGAATGAATTGTTGCCCATCTTACACTTTTAGTTTGTACCTTCCAGATGAGTACTAGTGCTGATAATGCACAAACATACTCTTTCTTGACATAAAACCACAAGTTTGAAGAACGTGCCACCCCCCAGCCTCTTCAGTTTAATATATTTTCTCTTTTTTTCTCTCTCTTAATTTTTATTTTCCTTTCTTTTTTCTTCTTATTATTTATTTTACCTAATAAACCGTGCTGCCAACCTCAACTTTCGGTACCCACCTGTTTATATGCTGAATTTGTAAAATGAATGCACATCATATATTGTTTATGCACATCATATAATGTGTGTTGCAGAATATGAGTTAAATAGTGTGGTTTACTTTCTTTTTTAATCAATTTTGTACTGTTATTTATATATATATATATATATATATATATATATGCATGTATGTATGTATGTATGTATGTATGTATATATATATATATATATATATATATATATATATATATATATATATATATATATATATATATATATATATATATATGTGTATGTATATTTATGTATGTATTTTATATTTGTTCTGTTATTTACTCTTTTACTTTTGCTTGTTAACTGTCACAAAAATCCAAATAAATAAATCTTTAAAAAAATGTACATCAAGCATTGACATGGTCAAAAAAACATACAAATAGATTTGCACACTGATGCCCTTTTGACCACCAAAATAACAACATAACATAATTATAATATAATAAAAGTTTTACTCATCCGAAAGCTTCAATTCCAAATGATAACATTTACACTGGACGTTGTATCCTGTTGAACCTATAGTGCATGTAAACTACCTTGATTATCAAAAGGCCATCAAATTGTAAACAAACAAAATACATCAAAACTCACTTTCATACTGAAGTCTATGTGTAATGATGGTTTTCTTGTTTGTTTTCTGTAAGTGATTAATTAAGTCGTGATAACGATAAAACACAAGGGAAAAAATATTTGAATGAATGGCCTCTTAGGACTTTCAGGACTGTCCTGTTATCAATTTTGACGCCAATAGTAGAAGTTTATTTACAGGCGTTTTGACATTAAGGTAGTCAAATCCATTAGCATTTTTAATGTAATTTTTGACACATTTATTGATGTCCCAAGGTGCCCGCTGAAGACCAGGGTAAACCTATCTCACCTGCTAGAAAGAGACTCCTGACCCCTGCATCTCTGATGATGGGCATTTGTGTAAGACGAGTGTTTCCACAAGCGATGAGAGACTCTGAAAGCAGACAGCCTGATGGAAGAGACTCCATATGAACAGAGGTGCGAATGACTGGATGTCCAGCACCTCTGTCCACTGGTCTCCCAGCGGGTGCAGGCAGTGGCCTTCCAGCAGGCAGGATCACGGATCTTCTTGTGGGAAGAGCGAAGGCTGGTTCCGCTCGTGGTGCAGCTGGTTTAAGTGTGGGAGGCATTACTCGTCTTTCCACTGTCACGGGCCGGACAGCAGATCTGAACACTGATATACTGCTGTCGTCGTCATCGTCATCGCTGTCACTGTCGTCCTCTAGATAGTCGTCATCATCGTGGTCATCACTGTCGAAAGGGATGGGCCTCATGAACTGAGGGTCTGTGGGCACTGCGGGAATCTTGGGAGGCTTTACAGCATCCAGACTCACTCTCACATCTTGGTTTTTCTTTGCTTGCTTCCTGGGTATGGAGGGCCAAACCTGCAAAAAAATAAAATCAAAATAAATAGATGGATGGATAGATGGTTATAGCTAGTTAGATACACCCATCGGTATGTGGATGCATGGGAGGATGAAAACAAATATGAGATTGCTGATATATGAATGGATGGACAGAAATATGCATAGATGTTAAATAGACATACCAGTCTATATAGATTTAAAGTATTGGTTAGATTAGTAGACAGGAAAATGGGTTGTTATGTTAGATGGCTAGATTTGCACATTGGTATGTGGACAGAAGACATAAGGTAGATGACTAGATACATGTTGTAGGGTCCAGCCAGTTGGTCCAATGACGGTATCCACTGGTGGATGAAGGTTCACTGCATGTTCGGTCTTTCCAGTGCACAATGTTGATCTATATTAAACTTAACTCATATCTGACTCCAATTTTAGTATGAGGTGGCTTAGAATATTAATATATTTATCCTTGTTTTATCTGACTCCAATTATAAAACATTGAGAAGGTTATTTTGTTTCCTTTCACATTATTTTAGATTATGATTGAATATTCTTTTGATTTGTTATTATACCTTATTCTCATTTACTCAGATTCCGATAGCATCCCGAGTCTTGCACCGGCCGGGTATACAATCTCTTAATACAAGCTTGTCAGTCTTGGTCATTAAACAGAGGCGATTAACCACTCTCCTAAAAAGGCAGAACCCTACTTACTCAATTTAGGAGATTTTTATGTGGTCCCCATAGATCTGTTATCTACTAATTCAAGACAAAGTATTTTAATAATAATCGCACAGGATTATAAGTTTGTAGATGAAGGCCTAGACATTTCAAATGATATCAAACATGATAGTTAAAGTCAGTTTGGTTAATCTAGAACATTCAAACATTGAAATGACCATATGTGTGAGATGGGGGGATGAAGCTGAGTTTCAGCATACTCAGATGCAAATGCAGCAGGAACTGGTTTTTCCCGCATTCGCATTGTGAAGTCACCAGTCTCTGTTTTCAGCTCATGTTTTGAATTGTCAAAGATATCAAAATATTTGCAATATTTCAACTCTTACAATGTACAGGTGTATGAACTGAAATTTGGTGGACAGGTGTGTGGATGTATAGATAGATGGAACAATAGAAAAAATGAAGTTTTATTTTTGCTTGGGTTTATTTTTACTTTTCAGCCTGTAACATGGAAATGAGGCAGGCAGATCGTATGTAGCTTCAGTACGTTATTGGTTGAGAGCCCACGAATAGAACAGTGAGCTCCTCTGAACAAAAGACCAGAGTTTTTTAAGATAATGAAATAATTTGCGAACTGAAATATGGTCTGCCTAAAATACAGCATCCGAAACTATTCGAACCCCAGCAAAAACCTATACTGTAAAAGGCAATTAATTAGTTGACTTTGAAGTGAGTAAGCCCATTGCCTTTAATTATTAGGTAAATCCACTATGTGCATGATTATAAAAATTCATTTAAGTCAACTACTCAGTTCTCAATGGGTTTACTCACTTTTTTTAACCTAATATGGGTTTTTGAAAATCACCTTCCATGCAGTGTGTAACAGTTTGTAATCAAAACATCCCGCTGAGGTTTAAATCTGAAAGTGCACTGTGTTAATTTATTCCTAAATAAAAAAATTGTGTTGGGTTCGGATCTTTTGCCTGAACGATGATGTTGGTACATCACCAAATATGTAATGCTGGATCCGCTAAAACGTAAGGCTCCTTTCCCTTCAGACACTAGTGGAGCATGGGATTGGTCATGACACGAAGATGATGATCACTCACAGATGAAGATTCGGTTAGGGGGAATAAAGGGTTAAAATTCATTTTCACAACAATACCACAGTATAGCCATCCTAGTGCTGTGTTTGTTTCAGTCATTTTTCTGATTTTTGATACAATAACCTACGCTGCAACATGGGATTCGTCTGCTGTTTGCTATTAAAGGAAGAAGCAGTGGAGACTTTTATGTATGGGACTTTGTCAGACTTTGTCAGTAACTGCTACAGTTCACATGGGCCAGTTTCTTCTTCCTCCGGATCGTAACATTTAAGTTTAATTAAAATTGCTGGCTTATTTCTGTGGTTTGCAAAATATGTGTTTAAGTGTGTGTCATGACTTATAATCACTTATCTATTATAGATCAGTGCTGTACTGTATCTCTCAGGCACATACTGCATCCGAAACCACGTAGAAAATGTGGCGCATGCTTCTTTCTTTACCGATTTAAATGTGTTTCTGAACTCGCGGTCCTCTGCCATTTGTCTTTGCTATGTCCACCATCAGCAGTTCCTACACACGCACAACATGGTCAACTTTCAAAATAGTTCAACTTTTGCCACTGTGTGGATTAATACTGAATGTGTGTCTGTGTTATTACATGGAGTTATTGTTAAGAGAAGAGTAATATGCTGGTCTTTAACTGCATTGCTTTATTGCATTCCTACATTGGGCTCTCACATACTGTAGTCTGCTACTTCATAACCGTGGTGGGGATTTCTCTCTGTCTTGCGCTGAACCCAGTTGACCAATCACAACAGCCTGGGTCATTAGACCAATCACTGCAGATTAGCCTCATGCAAAGCAGGGGTTTGGGAATAAATGAATCGCTGAACGAATCATATGGGAGTCGTTAGGATAATTAAATAAAAAAGTTATTTTTAATTATAATAATTATTATAAGACAATGAAAGTGACTGTTGTTGGAAACCCCCAAAACCAAAATATGACCTTTTTATAATACATATTAGGAACTCTTTAAATTCAAGTAACTAATCGCTTTTTATAGTGTATCTAAAAGTACAATACTAATACAATAAAATAATAAATCTGTAGAACATAAAGAATGCTAGACTTTTCGATTCCACATCTACTGTACATACTTCTTTGGCTGGGACGATCTCCATCTTGCTCTTCTTGGGCTTCACCTGCCGAACCTCCGTCTCCACAGGTGGTTTTCCATTTCCTGTCAGTCTGTTTTTCTGTCTTTTTTTCCCCACAAATGGTGGATTGTGTTTCCCGACCACAGACTTCAGGGTGGGTGAAGCTAGACATGGTGTGGAAAACAGAAAATCAGTACCCACCGCCGGGCATCCCAATCCCTCATGGCACCTTTCCCACCACCGCAATGCACCAGCACTGAGACCCAGTGTTTAACATAATTCCCAGCCGGCATTACCACAGGGATGTCCAGCGGTTTCTTTAGGTCTTACTACTAATGGTTAATCTGATTTTTACTTTAATGGAAAACCAAAAAGCAATTTTTAAAAAAAGATTTGGAGATAAAGTTTGTGCCCAGTACAATTTACATTTAATATGATCAATTAAATTGTTTATAGGGACATTTATAATGCTGCAAAATATTCTGCATCAAATTTATATAAAAAATCTGAATTTTTGTTGCTAATAAAATGTCAAAAAATTCAAGCAGCACAACCATTTTCAACATAAATTATAAAAGAAATGCTTCTTCTTCTTCTTCTTAAAGGGATAGTTCACCCAAAAATTTCAATGAACTGATTTATTCTCTCTCATGTGGTTTTAAAACTTTGAGTTTATTTCTTCTGTTGAACACAAAAGATTTTTGTAGAATGGTGAGGTTTGGTATCCATTGACCTCCATCGGGAGGAAAAAAATGCTACGGAAGTCCATGTGTGCCAGCAACCAGCAATCTTCAAAATAACTCCCTCTGAGTTACAGAGAAGAACAAGAGTCTCATAAAGGTTTTGAGCGAGTGAAAGGTGGGTAAATGATGAGGTAGTTTTCATTTTTGGGTGAACTATCCTTTTAAATTAGCATAATGGAAGGATATCTGAAGGATTATGTGACAATGAAGACAACCTTTTAACATCTACTAATATAGTAAACATGTACTGGCAACTTTATTAGTGCTTAACATAGCAGTATCGTTTCAATACAATGAAACTTTGTCTTTGAGAGTATTGCATTAAAAAAATTCAAGCCTTTTTAGCCTATATTATGTTAATGTTTGATGCTGTCTTATTGCGTGTGCTGGACCTAAATCAGTCATAAAGACTGTGAATGCTGGGATAAAAAAATTAAGGTTGTTCCCAAACCTCTTGCTGAACATGGTATGGTTCGGCAGCTCGCTGCACCATATTTACACTGGCACACACTGCACGGCTCCGGAGACCAGACAGCCCCCTCAAACAGAGAAATCCCATTCACCAAGCACTGGCTGCTGCGTCCTGGCATTAATCCACAAACACAGAAATGCAGAATTCAGCAGATCCAAGAGTAACTGGACACTTAAGTGGATTACATAACAGGTGGTGATAATGTAATGTAATGTAATGTAATTTTATGTAATATAATATAATATAATATAATATAATATAATATAATATAATATAATATAATATAATATAATATAATATAATATAATATAATAAAATATAATATAATATAATTTAATATAATGGTTTTAATGTGTAAATAATGAATGTATAAATGGATACACAATATTTCCATCAAGTTCACAGTGGCGACAAATATTTGGAAATTTCTACACTTATATATCAACAAATACAATTATGTAATTATTACCTAAAATGAAATTATTAATACAATATATTATAATCATTTTTATTTTTTTATTATAAGTTCATATTTCTTTTTCATAATGAACAATAATATTTATATAAATACATAATAAGCATTTATACATTTCCTTTCGTTTCTTAAGTGAAATAACCACTTTTTTTGGCAATTTTTATTGCACACAATACTACAATACTATAAAAACCCAATATTATGACAAAATCTTTTCAAACAGTCAAATAACGTTTCCTAAAGTTAAATACTTATTCTGCGACATTTACAATTGCGAATAAATAGAAATATTAATATGTAATCCCAATATTAGGAAAAAAAAAATTTTAATTCTTAAGCATATTACTAAGTGAACAAAAACTTATTTTAACAGCAAAAATAAATACAAATATCAATATGGAAATTAAAGATAAAGGTAAATACTTGTTTTTCAACATTCAGAATTGCGCAAAAAACGCAAATATTAAGATCCAATCCCAATAAAACATATTTAAAAAAATATTCTAATGATTTTATTAAGTAAAGAAAAACTTTTATTTTAACAATTTAAATGCACAAATAAATAAAAATATCAATATGGAAATCACAGAAAATGTTATTTTTTTAACATTCAAAATTGTTCAATAAATGCATTTATTAAGATCTAATCCTACTATCAGGAAACATACACTTTTTTTACACATACAAATTTTCTGCTGCTTGTTTAAACTACTTATTTGAAGCAAGCTGAATCAACACGATTCTTGAGATTTCTTTGGGGTCAAATTATAGTTTTATTTGTGATTCACTTAAATTTCCAAAAACATTTAAGCTCACTTGATCAATTTGTGTTGGGACAACATGAAGGAATTGTGTGGAACCCAGCATTTTTTTACAGTGTATTTAAAAAATATTGTTATTATTAAGAGAACAAAACATTTTAGATTTTAACAATTACAACTGTAAAAATAAATAGAAATGTCAATGTGGAAATCACAGATAAAGTTAAAAACTTATTTTTCAACATTTAAAATAAATACAAATATTAATTTGTAATCACAATATTAGGAAAAATATTTTAATATTTTTAAGTGAACAAAAACTTTTGTTTTAACAATTGCAGCAGCACAAATAGAAACATCAATATGGAAATCACTGATAAAGTTAAAGACTTTTTTTCAACATTCAGAATTGCAAAAAAAATGCCAATATTAAAAAGTAATTACAATATTAAGAAACGTATTAAAAAAAACTTGTTATGATATTATTAAGTGAACAAAAATGTTTATTTTAACAATTACAATAGCACAAATTAATAAAAATGTCAATATGGAAAGCATGGAAAAAGTTTAATACTTAATTTTAAACATTCAAAATTGCACAATAAATACAAATACTAATATCTAATGCCAATATTAGGAAAACAAACATACATATTCTAATGATATTTTAAGTGAACAAAGCACTTATATTTTAACTGCACAAATAAATACAAATTTCAATATAGAAATCATGTTCCAGTTATTAAATTACCAAAAATTAAATATAATTATTAAAATCATCATAAAATAACACACAAAAAATACAAACCTTCATTAAATAATTATACACTACAAGCATCACTCACCTGGAAGGAATGGGTTATCATACTCAAGTGCATCGTCAGTGGGTAAGAAATGCTTGGAGCTCCTCTGCCTCTCTCCTCGTCCCTTCTCAGGCTTACCCTCGGCTGCTAAAGCAACCAAACACAGGCACAAACACACAGCTAAAGGCTTGTTGTGCATTATCGCTGCACACAGGAGTCAGCTCAGGTGAGAAGTGTCTGAAACAGCTGTCTCAATGACTCTGAGCGATACACCTTCTCAAAGGCCAGTTATATTCTCTGCCTCTGGAAATCATGTTCAACCCTCTGAGAAAAAAAAAAGAAATGCAAAAGGTGAGAGTGTGGAGGAAGGAATGGAGGAACGGAAGCAGGGGAGTGAGAGGGAAAAAAAGAAAAAGAAAACAGCTTCAACAAAGCGCCTCTTTCATTTGCCCTGAAGAACCACCAACCGCCTCTCCATTCACTCTTAACGAACGCCCATCAATTCCCAGAGCCAAACTAACTATTAAAAAAATCTTATCTTTGACACGATTTCATGCCTTGACGTCAATGGATGCACTGCCAGTGAGTGGGAGCTCAGATTTATGTGCTGCTGATGAATGAAACATAACTTTGAGTCTCTCTTAATGTGCTCATTATTATTTGTGCTTCACTGCGAGTGTGAGTTTAATGGAAGAGCAGAGAAAACACTGCGATATGAAGGCCAACTTTGTTTGTGGAAGGGCCAACAGCACCACACTCCTGACAAATTCTTCAAGTTCCTTGGACTTTTTTTTTAAAACTTGTTTGACCATGTGACCCCCCCCTCTCTCTCTCTCTCTCTCTAAGACTGACCATAGCAGTGCTTACAGAGGATGTTGCTATGACTCAGTTGTGATTGGCTCAATTGTGATTGGTCAAAGAACATTCTACAAGAGAGGTGTCCAAACTCGGTCCTGGAGGGCCGGTGTCCATCATAGTTTAGCTCCAACTTCCCTCAAAACATCTCCCTGGATGTTTCTAGTACACCTAAAAGAGCTTTATTAGCTAGTTCAGGTTTGTTTAACTGGGGTTAGAACTAAAATATGCAGGACACCGGCCCTCCAGGAAAGAGTTTGGGCACCCCTATTATATGGTGTGCAATTATATTTAGATAAACACAGATTAATGTTAGGAATAGTTCACTCAGAACTGAAAATTCTGTTATGATTTACTCACACTTGTCATCAACTTGTTAAAGTATTTCTTCTGATGAACACTTTTCTTTAAACCTGTAACCACTGACTTCCACTGGATTTGTCTTTTCCACTATAGAAGTCAATGGTTACAGATTTCCAACAATTTCCAAAATATCTTCTTTTTTGTTCAACAGAAAAAGGAATCGCGTAAATGAATGGAACCACTTGAGGGAGAGTGAATGTGAATCTTTTTTCGGGGGGTAAACTGCCTGTTTAATATGTTGATTCCAGGCAGATCTTGATGCTTTACTGTTACACATCACTGCGTTGAATGACTTCAGGTTTTTCAAGTAACATCACAGCCATCAACAGCTTGAAAACAAACAAACAAACAAACAAACAAACAAACAAACAAACAAACAAACAAACAAACAAACAAACACACACACACACACACACACACACACACACACACACACACATAGCTAAAAAATATATATATACACTAAATATAAACATTCTGAAATTATTCATGTGGATGCCCTTCCAGGATGCAAAACAGTACTGGGAAACACCCATACACAATTATTCACACACATACACTAGGGGCAATTCCATTTGTTTAATTCACCTATAGCGCATGTCTTTGGACTGTGGGGAAAGTAGATCACCCAGAGGAAACCCACACAAACACAGGAAGAACATGCAAACTCCACATGGAAATGCCAACGGGTCCAGCCAAGATTCAATCTACTGACCTTCTTGCTGTGAGGTGACAGCACTAAACACTGAGCCACTCCGAAATTAAATTTTTGAATGACCCATTTTGCTTTGTATGAGATACAAACGAGGAGTTTGAGGACAAAAATATATATATTTAATATCTTCAGGTGTGTAAAGCATAAGGGGAATAATTGACTCTGCTTTAGAGACTTATTAAGAAATAAGACACAACATTTCAACAGCCGATCATCAATTACTCGCATACAGAAAATAGAAACAAAAGTCACATGTGAGTCACATGAGATTAAAATAGAATGTTTTAAATTATTATTATAATCTATGATTTTTATTTAAGTAATTCTTTTTGGCAATAGTATTATTAATAGAATTTTTTTTTTCAGAAAAAAAAATATTTTTTGTATATAGTTTAACCACTTATTGGACAAATTTGATTCCACAAAAATGTAAACATTACTATAAAACATAATAAGACAAAAATTCAAATTATCTTTTCTTATTCAAATGATTATATAACAGTTTGCATGAATATAAAAAAGCATTTTAATAGAATATTTTAAATAAATAAAGCTTTAAGATACCCTTAGATTAAAGAGGCCAACTTCCAGAGAAGGGCCTTTCTAAGGGGGGTTAGTTGTGGTCTAATGGTTAGAGAGCGGAGTAGAAGAGTGCAAAGAGTTCAAATTCATAGTATCTTAAAGCAGTAAAAAAACAACAACACCACCTAAATCACTTTTGCTAATGACAAGATTCTGAAATGCACATATGATGGATAACATGTGAACGAGTGTATGATTCTAATGTGCTGATTTGAAGCTCAAGAAACATTTCTGATTATTATTAATGCTAAAATAACAGCCATGCTGCATAATATTTCAATAAAATTATATATATTTTTTTCAAGAATCTTTGGTTTGAGCAATACAGTGCACAGTACTTTATTTTTTACATTAAAATGTATTAACTGTCACAATTGTTCTATATAATGCATGTATAAACATAAATATTATTTTCTAAAAGATTTGAACAATGAATATTATGTGATTTTAATATAGTAAACCGACTGAAATAATCCAACTAAACAGAGATCTTAATCATTTAAATAAAAGATTATTCAGAATAATTACTTTTTAATAATAAAATATAGATTTTTCCTTTGGGTGTTAGAAACCATTGATTTTGAAGAATATGATTGGGAACACTTTTAATGAACATTTTACCACATTAAATCATGTTCAGCTGTGCAAATCCACTGTAAACTTTTGCTTTCCTTGCATTTATGCTATTGACCAGAATGAGTAATAATTGGATGATTTATTTTCATTAATAACTATCAAAAGAACAATCTAATAATTGTGATCATCTGTATCATTTTAGGAATAAAAGAGAAGGAGTTTAACGTATTACATTCAGGATCAATTAATTCAATTTACTGTTTAAAAAGGAAAAATCTGTTTAATAAAGGCTTTTCAGAATATAGAGCTTAAACTGTGCATGTAAATTTGGTCAGAAAAACAACATTAGCACAAAAGTGTAAGCCTGTTACGATTAATTAAAATGTATTTGGAGGGGTATGGGACAAATAAGACATTTAGTTTTGCTTAATTATGTTTGCATCTCCTACACTCCAGCTTTTTATAAACTTTTTTTTGTTTGTTTTTACACAGAACATTATTAAGCAATTGGATGTAATACTTCCCTACTAGACCAGCCCTGAGCTTCCTGTCGTTCATTCAAAAATAAAAAATCTGAATGTTCATGGAAACAAACAGCCATTTTAAATTGGTAAACACTTCACCCACACCTTCCTGCCTTGTAAATCTGACCAAAACACAGACGATACCAGATATAAATGTATTAAACAAACAAGAGAGAAATGGTTTTAGCTACATTCTTTGTTTGCGGTCAGTTGCTGGAATGAGACAGTATGTAACGATGCTTCCAAAAATATGGCTTGATATGCAGTTGAACTATGCCGACCTCAGACAGCAAACAGTCTAGTGCAATCTTTTTCTTCATGACAACTTGAGAATCAGTGTTTACTTTTTTTTTCTCTCTAGAATTCTCCATCCGTAAACACACACGGCTGGAGCCAACCCTGTCGAGAACATGATAAATACCACCCAGACTGTTCATGCACTGTAGAGAATGAAAAACAACTTTAAAAAACAGAAACTGCAGATATACAGAACAATAGACAAAAGGACAGATAAACAGATCAGACAGACAGACAGATAAAACAATAGATAGATAGCAAATAAAACAGTAGGTGGACGGACGGACGGACGGACGGACGGACGGACGGACGGACGGACGGACGGACGGACGGACGGACGGACGGACGGACGGACGGACGGACGGACGGACGGACGGACGGACGGACGGACGGACAGACAGACAGACAGACAGACAGACAGACAGACAGACAGACAGACAGACAGACAGACAGACAGACAGACAGACAGACAGACAGACAGACAGACAGACAGACAGATAGATAGATAGATAGATAGATAGATAGATAGATAGATAGATAGATAGATAGATAGATAGATAGATAGATAGATAGATAGATAGATAGATAAAACTATAGAATGACAGACAGACATGGATGGATGGATGGATGGATGGATGGATGGATGGATGGATGGATGGATGGATGGATGGATGGATGGATGGATGGATAGATGGATGGATAGATGGATAGATAGATACTGTGAGTAGATAGATAGATAGATAGATAGATAGATAGATAGATAGATAGATAGATAGATAGATAGATAGATAGATAGATAGATAGATAGATAGATAGATAGATAGATAGATAGATAGATAGATAGCATAAACAGACAGAGAGATAGATAGATAGACTGATTGAGCAACAGATAGATAGAACTATGATAGATAGAATGACGGATGGATGGAGACAGATTGACAGAACAACAGACAGACAGATGCTTTCAGAGAAATACGTCTCTTGTTTATCTCTTCTGTAGCTGGCTGATTTGGGAGCAGTTTGCTTTTCTTGACTCATTAAAAAACCGCCTACATGTAGATACTCCTCAGTCCTCTCTATAACAACAGTGATTACTGGATATTTATTTTTAGAGCTCGCTGGAAGATTTGACCGCAAGAGTATGGTGTGGATTACAAGCAAGTGCAAAGTAACCCACATTTTGCTGACAGCCCCCACGCCACCATTTAGATCTGTATTACGTTTATTTGTTAGATTTATTTGTTGTTTTTGTTTACATCCTGATTGCAAAAGGCACATCTGTTGACTGGGTCTAATGAATCTGGATGGA